TTTTAATTACACTGCCTCTGTTCGATTAAGAAGTCAAAAGCCGTGCCTCTTCATTAATAACTACACCTCCGTATGTTACTCTTCTTTCCCATATGCCATAAATCAGTTTATCCTCTTTTCATAGGGTCATGCCGGGAAAAAAATATAATAGAAACTGCAATTACATATGATACCTCTCTACTTCACTTTCGCTATCAAATAAAACTTGTTTATTGATATACTAGGGCCAAAGAGTGTTGACATGGCACTTCTTATAGACTAGGAAATGTATTTATCTTTCTCAAGTTTTTGGGATTTTCTCTATTTTAATACAAGATTCTATATCTATTAAACTTAAAAAACGAGATTCTAATTGCAGTTCCATAATAAATATAGAAAGAGAAAGGCGTTTTTTTTCAAAACGAACAAATGCTACGATTGTAACGGTGCAAGCATTACACAGTATAATGATGCAACGGTTGTAACGTTTCAGTGTTTTTGAAACGGTGTATTTAAGAAATATTTAAAGTAGCCCATATGAAAATGTATCCAAAAAGACAAGAAATACCATATATTTATGCATAAGAAATTCATCCTCCATCCAGTAAGCCGGTATACACTAGGATCAACCAAAACCCCAACATCCCTTAGGCTTCCAATCGTTCTTCTTTTGGACACCATTAGGAGATGCTTCGAAATTGGCAATCATATTTTCTATTATGTTCTATGATGGCCAGACTTCTTTGAAATATCAGGCCTCCAATGCTTTCTACAATAAAGTGCTTCTAAGCTTGGTATTGTAAATTTATCGGTTTTTTCTTGTGTTGACTTGATGAAATAATACTATGTTTGATTGTATAAAGTATGTAAAATGTTAGTGGAGTAGTTCTTTTGCAATTTATGATAGCTTTGAATGGTAATTAATTTGATATCTAATGATATGTGGTTTAATCAGTTTACAAAACTGTAAGCTTGCTATTTCGCTGTCTTCATCACTGAGATGTAATAACGTATGACATATTTTCTTTGTTTCTATAGATTTTTACTGTGATGATTATGTCCAGTTATGTAAAAATTCACATTTGAATATAGCAGGCTTCTTTCCTTCTTTTTTTCACCAACTTATGTTAAAATGTCCAAAAATCCTCTATTAAATGTTTAGAGTCTCATCCGATTCCTTATAATGTATGTTTATTTGTATGTAATGTCTCTCTGCTTGACATTTCAGCCTGTAGGAAAGTTAAATTCGAGGGCGTTTAGTGCTATATGAAAAACAAGACTGGAGAGCCGTACTTTCAAGGAGAAATTGCAAAGTGTCAGATTCAAAAAGTGAAGCAGAAGTAGGAATATTTCTTCGGGTTCTAAGGAGGTTGATAGTAATGATATATCGAATTACACGTGGGTTTGAGAGGGTACTTGTGACGAATTTATTTTCTCAGAGAGAAAATTTAGACTTAGAAATCTGCCGACTTGAAATACTCAATAAGACAATAATAAATACTCCTATGAAAATTTGATACTCCAGCGGTTTCCGCTAGAAGAAAGCATGATAAAAGCTTATAACTACAGAAATTGCTATTAACAGTAAAACTCATTTCCTATTGCGAAAGGACACCATTTCCAAATAAAGGATATAAAGGTTAGCAAAAAATAAATAGACAACTACAAAGAAAAGAATAAATATAAAGAGAAGATATGAATAAGGAAAGAGAAAGAAAAACCAAAAGAATAGATTTGTGAATTTTCAGTTTGACTTAATTCTGTCATTGAAGACGTTATTAACATTGTTTTCTTCTTTAATTTTGTCGTAATTTGATTAATTACTTTTTCCCCCTATTTTAAAATTTCAACGAATGGAGAAAATTATATATTCAAGACATTTCTGTATACACATATATAGAAAATAAAGAACCATTTTTCTAAACAAATATACATGTAACCAAATTGTTTACTAAGCAAAGAAAATATATCAATTGTAAGTTTATGATATAGTTTAATAATTTCGTATGTATGTCTCGCCTATATTTTTTTTGTTTTCTAACTTTTATGTATTCAGATATTTTTTCCTGTTAACAAGAAATTCAATATATGTATGAACTACTTTTTTTTTTCTCTAAGACCGAGCGAAGCGCGGCAAATTCACTAGTATCAATATAAACCAAATTCCAATAACCATTAAAACTACTCAAATCTCGGATAACTAAGATGTGTGACTTGCATTTGAAAAAACATAATATATTTCACCAAAAGCATAATAAACAAAAACCTACTATACAAATTGGTTATCGTTTGAAGCCAATGAGTCAACACAGAAAAGAAATATACACTATTTGAATCCAAAACCTAGTGTCATTTTGATTCTAATGACTAGTGTCAACAAATATCCATAATACAAAGTAGTAGTAGTAGTTAGCCTATTAACATTTCTCTAACTCTTGATCGTAATGAAGTCTTCCATATTGCTAAATCTCTAAACATCATAGCGTATGCCCTGAAATGATAAAATAAAACAAATGTCATACATAGTTCATGAATATTAAACCAAACGAAGATAACGATCATAAATAACAGGCAACAGTACGAGGTTTTAGTTTTATAGCAAGTAAATGAATACCATCGAGAATTCTTCCTTAGGTTGAAGTCACATGCTCTCTGAATAACCCAACTCCATACTTAGCAAATGGATTAATATCAAGATAACGACATTTCTAAGATCTAGCAGCAAAGTGTCATTAACTGAATAAGCTATTTAGCACAGGACCATGATGTAGCACATAGTTTACGAGATTAATTCAAAGTTTATCTCTTAAATTTTCATTTCTAGTCAAAAGTCAGTGTTTAACATAATGAAGTAGCACACGATTTACCTGATTAACACAGAGGCCTACATCTCGCCTGTATAAGTCAGCATATTTGTTCATGGACACACCACTATCAAATTAACAAACATAAAGTAAAAGAAAATGAAGAACCAAATAGCATCTTAAATAACTCAATGTGATGCATATAGGAAAATCTAGCAACAGCCTTAAGATAATTGGGTAAACAAATGGCAAGGAAATTTTAAGTTCAAAAACATCAGAATATCTAGATGCATAAGGTAAGCAGAAAACAAATTTGACCATCTCACAATTTCTAGCCATGGAAACCAGTAAATTTAAAGATTGCAGGAGCAACATGAGATGATTGACTTGGATATAACAATTCCATGTAGGCATACCATATCAAAAATAGTAGTTCACACTTATAAAAAGAGGGGTCACCGGCACTCGAAAAGTTTCGTAAGAATTTGGTGTATATGTCTTTAGAAAATAATACTAATATATTAGTCGTGGCACCCTATGTACATATCAAATTTTGGTTGAATGCAAAAGTGTCCCCGCAACGCGGCTAGAAGCAAATTTCTAAAACTAAGAGATATTAGGTCACAGTCACAAATTCCTAATCAAGTGGCTTAATCAATCTACCGCATGGACAATGAAGTTCCAAAATATAGTAAACACATGAGAAGACAGAAACTTGTAAGAATAGGAATTGTAAGAAAAGACAGAAACTTATAAGAAACTATCTGAGCTTCATTGATCCAGTAAGTATCCTATCTTCTATTCTATTTTCTCTAATTTTCACCTCCAAAATTTCCCAAACTGTTGTTCTATTTTGTTTGTGCTACAGATATTACAATCCCATATTTATTACAGTACATCTATTCTTATAAAACACTGCAATGATGATTTGCAGATATAAATTTTCATTACATACTTCCATTTTCCCGTTCTTCTCTGTTCGGGATAATATCTTCATGTACAAATAAAAAACATAGATGATGAATAACAAACGGCTTAATAGCCTCATTTATCTCAAAGGTGTTTCTATTTGAAATTTAACATGTGAAATAACTGTAATCAAACTCATAAATAAAGGAATTAAAACTACTCAACCTATGAATGTCTGAAACTAATATATCATCTTTCCAAAACTTAAGGAACTACTCGGAAACACCAAACTCAATAGTATTATTGTTCTAGTGACAATCTCTGTTGTGACATTGTATCAAATGCCAAATAGGCTTCTTAAGGTAATGTAATATAAACAAATAAAATCAAACCAAGTCACAAGCAATATAGTGTAAACAAGTGAATCAGATATGAACTCTATCGCCTATGGTTATTTCTGAACATACTTTTAAACAAAATAAATGAAGTAAGCACTGCTTAATTATGCAATAGTGTTACCTTTTGATAAAGCACCATATAAAGTAAGTTTTCTATTCAGACATGTTTGCATCTGCTGCTAAGTTAGTAACAACATTATCAGATGGTCTGTAGCCAGTTGTATATACTCATCTCCATGGTCAAAAAACTGTTCAAGTTCTTGCTCTTGGTAAGGCTCATTCTCATATACTTCATCTTCCACTACTTCTTCTCCCATTTCATACAAATCTCTTGGCTTTAGATGCACAGCAACACTCCACCTTTTATTGACTACATCATCCACATAATATACCATTTGCGCTTGAGATGCTTCGATATAAGGCTCATGTTCTTCACGTTCGCCAGAATGAATCACTCTATCAAAATTAACACAATTAAAACTCCTGTTGGAAAGAAGAAACCAGAAACAATATCCTAATTCTAACAATCTGTGGACATTTACTTAGAGATATAGAAAAAGGGTGAAGAAGAAGAAGAAGAAGAATGGAAAAGAATGTCGTGCATATTAGTGTTTAGAATATAGGGGACATAATTAATGGGTTAGGGGACATAAATTAATGAAGTTAGTAAGATAATTATAATATAAGGAGACATAGGTTAGTGGGTTAGTGTGGGAGGAATAAATATATATGTAAGTGTATAATATATACATGTGCAAAGCTCAATGTAAACAACACACGGAAGATTGGTCTTTTGAATCAGATTTTTTTCTTCAATTTCGTACATGGTATCAGAGCAATAAGCTCGATCCAACAGTTCAACCATCAAGTCAATTTACATCAGATTCACCATCATAATCAGTAACCTAAAATGTCTGAAATAACCATTACGTATACTGGTGATACGAGCAATGCTGCAAAATCAGTCAGCTATGATGCCAATCACCCTTATCATCTCAACAACTCTGATTCACCTGGAATGACTCTAGTCAACACTATGTTTGATGGAAGAGGATACCCAGGGTGGAGGAGATCTATTCTCCTGTCTTTGTCAGCCAAGAAGAAACTTGGTTTCATCAATGGAGCATGTCTATCTCCAGATCTGAAATCTCCAGACCATGAACAATGGAGTTGTGTGAATGACATGGTCATCTCTTGGATCCTAAATGCTCTCTCAAAGGATATTGCAGATAGTGTGATATACTCCAAAATTGCAAAAAAAAACTTTGGGACAGCTTGGAGCAGAGATTTGGGAGATCAAATGGAGCCAAGCTTTATCATCTGCAGAAGGAGTTATCAGGTTTAGTACAGGGAAACAGTGACATTGCAGCATACTTCACTAAGCTCAAACGACTGTGGGATGAATTAGATGCTTTAAATGTTATCATATATTGTTCATGTGTTTGTGTTTGTGAAGGAAAGACAAAGTTGACTAAGTCTCTTGAGGATCAGAGATTGATCCAATTCCTAATGGGATTAAATGACATCCATGCACAAGCAAGAGGAAATATCCTCATGATGAACCCTTTGCCTAGCATGGATGTTGCTTATTCACTTCTCTTGCAGGATGAAAATCAAAGAGAAGTTTATGCAAATGCACATTTTAATTCTGAATCAGTATCATTCATGGCAGCTGGAGAGGCCAAGCAGCCTAATTCACAACTTCTAGCTGATTTTGCAGCTTTTATGATCACAGGACAAGGAAAAAATTATCAGAAACTTAGAAGCCAAACACAAAGAGGAGCAGCCATATCACCCAAATATAACAACTCAGGGCAAAAGTTTTTTAAACTTCAGCAAAGGTTTAAAGGGAAAAAGAAGTACAATCCAAATGTGTCTTGTACTTATTGTGGAAAAGCAAGACATACACAAGAGGATTGCTATAGAATTATTGGATTTTCAGAAGATTTTGAGTTCACCAATCACAAAGGTCAGCAGACTCAAATTAAAGAAAATGCAGTCCTAATACATGAGGAACGTGAGAATTCAGCAGGACAAAGCACTGAGCTCAACAACAGTAATTTTGGACAGCAACTCAGCAAGGAACAAATTGCAGAAATGATGCACATGTATAAGCAGGCAAAGTTAGCACAAGCAGGAAATACAGGAATCAATGCTAATGCAGTTGCTGGTACTATTCTAAAATACTCAGGTTCAGTATTTACTAGTCTAAAATTAGACACCTGGATCATTGATTCCGGTGACTCAGAGCATATGTGTTTTGATCCCAATTCTTTCCTGTTTCTAACTCCACTTCCTGTACCTTTGAATATCAGTTTACCTAACTCTTTCAAGGTGATTGTTACTCATATAGGGAGTATTTCTATTCTGCCAGGTAATATCCTGAACAATATGTTACATGTTCCAGATTTCAAATATAACTTATTATCAGTTAATAGGTTTTGTGTTCAATTCAAGTATGATGTCCTATTCACATCTATTGGGTGTGTGTTGCAGGGCCTTTTAATGAAGAGTCCACAAGTTTTTGGTGAAGTTAGAGAGGGACTCTACTTATTGGAACTAAGTAGCCTTAAGTCTAAGGGGCTATTCAGTAGTAATGTACCTTCAATTCCGAAAGAAAGAAATTCTGTTTCAAAGTCTGTTTCTTTTTGTAGTCCAGTTCAAGTTAATAGTACTCCTGATGTTAAACTTTGGCATGTAAGATTGGGACACCTTCCATTTTCAGCAATGAAACATTTAGATTTCCTTCATTGTAAGCCAAATTTTGAGTTTATCTGTGATGTTTGTCATAAGGCTAAGCAAACCAGGAATCCTTTTCCTATCGTAGCATAAAATCCAAGCATATATTTGAACTTATACATGTAGACACATGGGGACCATATAAGTCAAATACTTATAACGGATTTAGATATTTCCTAACTATAGTAGATGACTATAGCAAAGGAACATGGACATTTTTATTAAGTGCAAAAAGCAATGCTTTTCCTATGCTTAAATCTTTTCTGTCTATGGTTGAAAGACAATTAAATGTGAAAGTCAGAATGATAAGATCTGACAATGCATTAGAATTGGGAAAAGGTACACAAGAGGCAGCTTTCCTAGCTTCAGAAGGAATTCTACACCAACTATCTTGTGTAGCAACCCCTCAACAGAATGGAATTGTTGAAAGGAAGCATAGATACCTCTTAGAGATTGCAAGAGGGTTAATGTCTCAATCCAAGCTACACATGTCATATTGGGGTGAATCTATCCTAACTGCCACACATCTTATTAATAGGATGCCTTCTAGTGTACTTAAAGGAAAGACACCATATGAGGTTTTATTTCAAGAGAAACCCAAGTATGATCATTTAAGGAATTTTGGATGCCTCTGTTATGCTTCTACAATATCCCAGGGAAGAGGCAAGTTCGATGATAGGGCAACTGCTTGTATTTTGCTTGGTTATCCGCTTCATCAGAAGGGATATAAGCTATTGGAATTGTCCACGGGAAGAGTATTTGTGTCAAGGGATGTGAAATTTCATGAATCGCACTTTCCTTTTGTTGAAACCAGCACATCACAACATCCTATATTCCCAAGCTTAACATTTACTACAGAACCCACATATTCACCTTCATCACAGGATCAATCCTCACCCATCTCTTTAGAACCTGAAGTTTGTGATATTTTCTCCTTACCATCACCAAGTTCTTCATATACTCCCTCTCATCACCAATTGTCTACTACCCCAATTCCTTTTCAGTCTATCCTAGATACACCACACACTACCTCGCCTGTTTCTATACCCAAGCAACCTACACGATTGAGAAAGTCAGGAAGAGTTTCCAATCAACCAACCTACTTGAAATATTATGTATGCAGTAATATCATGTTCACAAATGTAGCAACACCTTGTTTCACTCAACCAAGTTAGCCTAGGGAATTCTGTTTCTTTTCTCTGTCACCCAATAATCAACATGTGTTGCAATCCCTCTCTACTGTCACAGAGCCTAACAATTTTGGACAAGCTTGTCAACATCCATGTTGGATAGAAGCTATGAATTCAGAGCTTAAATCTCTAGAAGACAACCACACATGGGATGTGGTTAAATTACCTAAAGGAAACAAGGCTCTACCTTGCAAATGGGTGTACAAGGTAAAGCATTTGTCGGATGGAAGAATTGAAAGGTTGAAGGCAAGGCTGGTGGTCAGGGGGGATGTACAAAGAGAAGGAATAGATTATAGTGAGACTTTTTCACCAATGGTAAAAATGACAACCATAAGGTGTTTACTCACTATTGCAGCCAAAAGAGATTGGAATGTGTGTCAATTAGATGTCAACAATGCATTTTTACATGGGGATCTACAAGAGGAGGTGTATATGAGGTTTCCAGCAGGCTTAACATCTCCTAGTCCTAAGCATATTTGTTTACTAAGGAAGTCATTGTATGGTTTAAAACAAGCTTCCAGGCAATGGTATGCTAGGCTTGCAGGAGCTTTGAGTTTTAAAGGGTATTCTTCATCATTAAACGATTACTCACTATTTTTTAAACGGACAGGAAACCTAATTCTATCCTAGCTATCTATGTAGATGACATACTGCTTACTGGAGATGACTTGGAAGAAATTCAGCATATCAAGGGTTTTCTAAACAGTGAATTCAAGGTAAAAAATCTAGGAGACATACATTATTTTTTAGGGATGGAAATTCTGCGAGAAAAAGAAGGTTTTATTGTAAGCCAAAGGAGATTTACCCTAGATATGCTGGAGGAATTCGATGTATCTCATTTGCCTCGAGTCAGTTCTCCTCTTGATCCTTCCTCCAAGTTTCAAGCTGATGATGGGCACCCTTTGCAATATCCAACAATATTTCGTCATCTGGTTGGCAAGTTAAACTATCTCACTAACACTCGGCCTGACCTTTCTTTCGCAGTCCTTACCCTTAGTCAATACATGCAAAAATCATGTAAGTCTCATTTCTCTGCTGCCTTACGAGTGCTCAAATATTTGAGCTATGATCCAGGACAAGGAATACTTCTCTCAGCAAAACACTCATTCTCCTTGCTTGCATTTTACGATGCTGATTGGGCCTCTTGCAAGGATTCTAGGAGGCCCGTAAGTGGATTTTTTATCACACTAGGAGGAGCACCCATTTCCTGGAAATCAAAGAAACAAGTATCAATCTCTCTATCTTCTGCAGAGGCAGAATACAGATCAATGAGAAGAGTAACTGCAGAACTTACATGGTTAGTTCGACTTCTTGAAGATCTCTCTGCACCAGTAAGTCTTCCCATACCTCTTCACTCTGACAGCAAGGCAGCCATTCATATCGCCCGTAACCCCGTCTTCCACGAACGCACAAAACATGTAGAAATTGACTGTCATTTTGTGTGTCAACAGTTCCTTTCCGGTTTAATTACTCTTTCTTTTGTTCCATCTAAAGACCAACTGGCGGATCTCTTCACAAAGCCACTTTCTGGGGTTTCTCACTCCGAGATTTTGAGCAAGTTAGGGGTCACAAAGTTACCCTCCAACTTGAGGGGTGATGTTAGGAAGAAGAAACCAGAAATAATATCCTAATTCTAACAATCTCTGGACATTTACTTAGAGATATAGAAGAAGGGTGAAGAAGAAGAAGAAGAAGAAGAATGGAAAAGAATGTCGTGCATATTAGTGTTTAGAATATAGGAGACATAATTAATGGGTTAGGGGACATAAATTAATGGGGTTAGTAAGATAATTATAATATAAGGAGACATAGGTTAGTGGGTTAGTGTGGGAGGAATAAATATATATGTAAGTGTATAATATATACATATGCAAAGCTCAATGTAAACAACACACGGAATATTGGTCTTCTGAATCAGATTTTTTTCTTCAATTTCGTACAACTCCAACGATCCTTTTTATACCCTCTATCTCGAGTAGTGTCAGCCCATATACATTTGAAAAGAACCACCTTGAACCAACCATTATAATTAATCTCAATTATATCTTCTAACTTTCCATAATATGGTAAGTCAGCTTGCTGTAAATTTCTGTCAACACTGCTTGCAACACCTGATGTGTTAGAGGTTAAAAAAACTCCACTATTCTGTGTTTTCAGACCTTTTTCTCGATCCAAAGTTTGAAATTTGAACCCATTAATGTTATATGCAGTAAATCTTCTTGCATTTACCGATGGACCTCGTGCTAGAAATTTTAGATCAGTAGACATTGTGTCCATTATGTCTGGATTCAGAGGACATTTCAGAAGGCTCCGTGACATTTGGGTCATCACGAACACGCCTAGGTCTATTGAACCTTGTCTCGATATCCTCCATATACCGAGAACAAAAGGTAAGAGCCTCCGCTATAGAAGCTTCTGCTTGTGCCTTATTCCGCACAAAGGACTTAAAATGGCCTAATTCCCTATAAAAATAATAGGCACTAAGTATATAAACTATTTAAATTGACCCAGAATATATATGGATTTACATTAGAAATGCTAATGATTTACCTCTCCGCAAGATACATATGTCGATACTGCACTGGACCTCCGAGTTTTGCTTCCTGTACTAGATGGACAGTTAAATGAACCATGACTGTAAAAAAATAATGGAGGAAATAGTATTTCTAGGTGGCAAAGTGTAAGTTCAATGCGCTCTTGGAGCTTATCAAGATCTGAAAGGTTCAAGCTTTTACTAGAGAGGGCTCTGAAAAATGAACAGAATAAAACCAAAAACTACAGTTACATGGTCTGGCAACACATTACGGATCGCCAATGGTAGCAATTGCTCAATAATAATGTGACAATCATGGCTTTTCAATCCAAAAATCTTTTTTTGTTCCAAATCAACACATCTATAAATGTTACTTGAGTAACCATCTGGTACTACAACATTCTTCAAAGTTGTAAGAAACAACTTTTTGGTATCACGCTCATTATCATGTGTAGGCGGCATAAATGAAAATACAGCAAGGTGATATGTTCCATTATCATCCGGCCAAAGATCACGCTTTATGCCCATTTCTCTTAAATCCTTCCGGGCATTAATATTGTCTTTTGATTTTGATTTATCATGGAGCAATGTATATATGATATTGTCGCATACGTTTTTTTCAATATGCATAAAATCTAAATTATGACGCAATAAGTTGGACTCCCAATATGGAAGTTTAAAGAATATACTTCTCTTATTCCATTGCTTAGTTAGCCGTCTTGATATTTTCCCACTACCATTCAACTCTACTCCTCTTCCTTCTTCTATTTGCCTCAAAATATCAGATCCTGATAGTTTTAATGGTGGATTTCGTTCCTCTGTGCTTTCGTTAAAGTGAACTCGATTCAATCTAAATCTATGATTTCTTTTCAGAAAGCGCCGATGACCAATAAAGCACCACTTTTTACCGTGATGAAGACGACAAGGTTATGTGTCGAAGTTACAAGTTGGGCAAGCAAATCCAGTCACTGCAAGAAAGTGTGAAAATTGCAATAAATTTTTTCGTTGCCATATATTGGATATTGTTGCAAAAAGTACTTTTGGCAACAACCAAAAAGTTGTTGCATGCCGTTGCAATAAATGTTGATGGGAAAAGTTTTTGCAATAACAAAATTGTCATTGCCAAAAGCTGACTTAACGTAACAAGAAATATTATTGCCATAAATTATATTTTGACTATAAACTTGTGGCTTATAAAAATATTTAGCAACAAAAATTATTGTTGCGATAAATTATTATTATTTCGCAACAATACTACTTGTGGCAAAATATTGGCAGGAGGGTATTTAATAATCTGTTATAAAGACTTTTCGCAACAAGTATTGTTGTGGGCACAAACCACTTTTTGCCAACAATATTATATATTCTGT